CCAAGGATTCGCTCTTTTAAAGGACAAGGTTTTTTTATTTGTCTGTGAAATTGAACTTGTATTGACTCAAAATAATTTTGTGTTATCATGGGAAGTGGGCCCTAATGAATAGTACTTCTTGAAAGTATATCAAGCAAAACTAAACGAACAGCGCTCTGATTAACATGGCGAGAGGATGATATGCCAGCGGCTATTTGATTGTTCCATTCTGAAAGTGTTCTGAAGTAATCTCTGCTAAACAAACAAGTCAAACAAATTGGATTCATCAAGGCTGTAGCAATAGAGAAATTTACTCACATCCGATTACAATAGAGCACCAGGGATGAGGTGAACTCTGACATGAGAATGGCCAAACAAAACTGCAATCTCATGCGTCATCACTTTAGATTAAACCTACACACGAAATGCATACTTAACATAACAAGCCTTAACAATGTCTACAATTTTTCAATCAAGTCTCAAATTTCCCGTTTCTGTGTCTCATATTAGAGGTAGAGTCATATTAACCATATAGCTCACATCTAAACTCCCTTTAATCACTATCTGGAAGTCGCTCAAATAAAAATGGTGCAGAACAAAGGCAATTTTTAATAAAACCCTCACCCAAACTATGTGGCAAATACATTATAAAATTAGACGTCCACATTCAAAATTGGGTTAATAACTTCCCTATGTGAACCATCTGTGTTCTAGCAAGAATTAAATGCCTCATTATTCATATAATACTATAAACCTTTTAATAAATGAAAAGAGAAAATTGCAAAAACACAAAATGAATCAGTGTGGAACGCACCATTCAGTAATTGATCACTTCACAAAAAGCTACAATGCAAGTGTGTCTAATGCAACTTAAAGGGACATTTTGTCTTTGTACGTACATCATACGATGGCAGAGGCATTACCACATGATCAAAGTCAAGCACAAGCAACTCCAAAACTTCCTTTAAAAGATTTTCTCGCAATAAGCAACAAAAACACTTGGCTTAATCGTGCTGCTGACTCTATTTTTAAATTACACTCAGCAGACTGTTTATTGGAAATAAACCAATATTTCATGCAGCTGAACTGACCCAGACAAGTTAATATGCGCGATCATTAGGCTGTAACAACAAAACAGACTTGATGACCCGGAGAGGTTGGTTCTGAAGCTGTTTGGAGAAAATGCAGCTACGCTTACAGATGGTTGAATGGCATTAGACCTCTCGCATAAGCATAACGCCTTTTGGCAACTGTGATGCGAAATGGCTAATTCGCAATGTAATTGGTGCAGGCAACATTCAAATTATCAGAACAAAAGTAAGAGGAGAGAAACTCGCCTTGGGCAAATGAACAACATGAATAACTCGGGTTCACGTTGCTCAGTTTCTAAGCGAATAGCCTACTTCAGTTAGTAATTAGGGGTTAGGTTCCAGGAAAATGAAAAACTGTGTGTTGTGTTTTGTAGTATGGTATGATATAGCTAGCCAACCCTGATTACCAATGAAATGAATGCTGTTCTTCAATATTTCTAGACAGATGATGGGAGGCTCGGCAGTCAGGGTCAGGTAGCTAGGCAGGAAAAGTGGATCTATAACAATTATCTGTAATACTCTAGAGACTGAAGCTCTGCCTCCTGCTCTATTTATACTCGCAAAACCAAACACATCAACTCTGTCACTCACACCAGGAGCTGCCATTTATACCGTATCTATCACCTTATTTCTGATTTTCTAAGAGAAGTGGATAGAAAAACAGATGTTCACGGCAAATCTCATTTACATACAATTTCTAATGGCTGCTGCAGTTGCTCTGCATATCGAGTAGTTCTATAAGATACGCATCTCTCCTATTGATACCACTTGAATAAATGTGCTTAATTGTTTATGAGACCTGAGAAATGACCTTCTAATTCATTTGATTTTGCATCTGATGTACATTTCATTACGGACTACATTTCTGTTTACATGATATGAGAAATTAGCAACATCTCTAGCAGCCAGCTGTTGTATCAATGAAGTCTAATGGCGTTTAATAAAGCTTATATTGAATTCAGAATGAGAATCGTTTTATAACGCATCACTGTTGCTGTGTTTCTGTGAGAGATGAAGAGAAATGATATTTCTTGGCAGCAAAAACGTATTGTCAGTTTGGAGAATTACCCCGCTGACGAAAGGTTTTCTACATCACTTGTGCAACTAACCAAACAGGAAATGATGCAATTAAGTGTAAACACAATTGAAATGTGTCTAAGAAGACCATGTAATAAATCAGTAATGCCAGATAATAATACACAGATTTCTGTCCCCAAACAACACAAAGAACAGGTCCAAGTGAAGTGAACAGTATATTATAAAATGTAGTTTAATTTAGATTTTACCAAGTCATGGTGCATATATTCAGCGGACAACCAACATTTACATGAAAAAAAACATGGTGTAATGCAATAAAATACCACTTTACAATACAGATAATATTTCACAAAATTATATATTATTTATTTGACTGAAATAAGGGTGACCAATAATTTCAACCGAACAGCAATAGCAGGAAATTAAATGCAATGTTTAAATCAAAAACTAAGAGTTTTTCAAACATTTTTTACTGAAACACAAGGATGACGAATCATTTTAATTTTATATGCAATAAAACGATCCCTGATTTATTTATCTTAAGTAGTTGGTCAATATGGGTCTTTCAATGGCTGATGTTGAGTTTTACACAATATTTACTCGATGCAATAAAATCATGAAAAAAGAAAGTAAAATTAAGAACAAACTGGAGAGATTCTGATAGTCGGTTAATCTTAAAATTGCCAAATTATTGACCTGGTTAATACATCTGCGCTGTCAATAATAAACCATCAAATCTATAAACAAATAACAAATCGTTGAATCAGAGTTTTGAATCAATTCATGACACAGAAATGAACAACAAATGACATGTCCATATTGACGCCCTGAAGAATGAAGTCGTGACACTAAAACGGTGCAAACTATTACAGAGTTTTAACTTAAAAGTGGTGAATTACTTCGGTAAAGCTGGCAAAATAGGCTTTAAATAAAACATTATATTATTTTATTCTGTTTTTTTCTGTTCACAGAAGCGCTGCAGGTGTGTGAACATTGTTTAACATTTAAAACTATTTAAAACATTTAAAACTATTTAAAATTTTATTTACGCATTTAAAACTAAACCGCCGGGGGGAAAAAAACATTTTTGATGACAGATACTTATTCTTTCTAATTTTATTTAATTCTAATTTGAACCCCTGATACTGGAGAGAACACTGTGATGGACAATCTGAAAATCCTCTGAGTTTGTAGCTAACACTTCAAACTGGATGGCAACAAACACAGTGATTTAGGCCAAACGGAGGGGAATACTAAAAGAAACAGAAAGCTGTTCCAATAGCACTCTATGTTTACCATAATGCTGTTTAAAGTGTAGACATAGTACGATACAATTTTCAGTGATAAACCTACACTTACAATACCTGTTTTGTCAACAACTCTGTCGATCCGATGGTCTGTGGACAAGGAAAAAAATATGGAGGCATAATCTGCAGTTTTCATATTAACTAGGGCAATTAACATGGAAATCTAATAGGTGCTTCACCTATTTGGATTATTAACTGAAAGGCTGCGATTATTTTTTATGCGCAGCTCGTCAGTGACGTACGGCTCTGTAATGCGTAGTAAATGCTGCTCCAACTGAAAGCACTGCATTTGAAAAAGCAACATCTTTCCAAACATGCGAAGTATTTATGAACCTCTTGTCCAACAAAAGACAACATTTATTAAATCAAAGCATATCAATTTTCTGTTTATTCAGCTAGGATGATGCCCATTGGCATGTCTGATCAGCTGCACATAAAATAGTCGCAAGTCGCAACCTTTGTCAAATCGCCTGTGGTTTCATTTCGATTAATCATGCAGCCCCTAATATTAAGCCTGGTTTCCATTATAGATTTGCCCAAAACTTTTGTAATATTTTATAAAGGTCAATACACTTTTGGTGAAAAGACGCCCTTTCCTCTAACCGATGTTATGCGACTAAAACGTAATTTTTTCCTCTCGCGATAAATCATTCCAAAAATCATGGCAACGGGTGTTGGTAGGTTTATGTATATCACAACCACCAGCAATTATTTTTAATCGAAGGAGATGTAGGCTTGTCAATCAAACATCAAGGGCAAGAAAAGCCCCTTATACTTGAGAGTGGCCACGTATGAGGTGTTTCTCCCTTCTATCTGCTCCATGGTCTTGAAAAATTGTGCCATTTCTTTGTTGTTTAGTCATAATTCTTCTGTCCAAACATACCACGCCATCTTTAAAGAATGATCGACTTTTACGAATGCCAGGTGACCTGTAAATGCAAAAAAACTTTCCATTGCAGTTTAGGGATATATTCCTTTTTCGAATTGCCTGAAAAATCACCTCACGCGAGTTTTTGCTAAAATGACGTGTTTCCATTGGGTGTGTTTTCAATTCGCAATTTCAATTTGTGCAATTTAAAAGGTAATGGAAATGCAGCTATAAAAGCACTGAAGTTGTCAAAAGTCCGCCAAATGAAGTGATCTGGTGACAAATAAATGGAAATATATTGGTCCACGAATCAAGGAGAATGAGTAAACAATGTTAATTTACATATACTACCAACATTGTAACAATACAAAGCAGGTTGAAAATCAGCCAACTTACACTTTGTGAATTAAAATCCTCACGATGTAGCTTAACTTGAAAATCATTACAAATATACCATACTGTTCAATAGTCACGCATCCCAAGAGAGAGCACGCAGGCAGAGACGTGCTCAAGGACAACAACAGTCCCACTTTACACAAACACAGTTAACGTGATGAAGATAAAGATGCATAACCATGCTGCTCCATTTCAAAGGTGTGTAGACATAGTATCAGAGTATCAGATAGGAACAAACTCCAGACATTTCAAAATGAAAACACTGATAAAAGAAAGAAAAAGAGAGACTGTGAATGGAAAACATGAGGTTGCTGCACTCACCGGTGAGAACAGCTTTAGCGGACGGGTCAGCCAGGTCCAGGGCAGACTTGCCGTCGGTGTTGCGGATGTTGGGATCGGCGCCGTGCTGGAGCAGAACTGTGCAGGGGAAACACAAGCAGTATCGTAACTCAGGCAGACAGAGGCTGCTGCTGGGACCGCTCGCACCGCTGACTGGTAGCGCTTGCCTCGGCATGGTGCAGACATAAACACACATCGCGCACCAGCGCACCAGGAGCAGCAGCGAAAACAGCCCGCACGGAAAAACACACACTGCAGTGAGACGGGGGGAAAAAGCCCATGTTACACTGAGAGAGTCCGACTCCAGGCATGTGAGAGTGGAATATCAAAGCATGTCTTTCGATCCTCTCCACGGCCCCCGGAGAGAAAGAAAGAGACGACGAGAGCCGTTCGCCGGCGCTCTGTTATTGATGCCCAAGTAACGCAGAGCACCTAGAGCGAGTAGCATCTATCAACTGTCTCCAATCCTCTTCTCTCTCTCTCTGTACAACAACATACGCTTGTACACAGGCTAACGTACACGTCCCCTCCCTCTGCCCTCCCTGTCCAATTCACTACCCTCCTCAGTAACACTTCCACACATCTCGCGCTCCCTACAATTCCTCACACAGATCTCTGGCATCAGAGAGGGATCACACAGAATGCATTGTAAAAATGGACATTTCCATTTCTTCAAAACACAGGGAATGTCCAGGAGATTGATGCTAATCATTTAGTCAAATTAACTAGGAAGACTTGCATAATCTGGTTTAGATTCACTTCGATTATTGATTTATTTGTGCAGGGACATTTCACTGTACTTTGACGCATTTCCGTTTTGGTGACTTCTATTGTTTGAAGAAAACACTACATTGAATAATATTTCTCAAAATATTAAATATATAAACAAATAAAAAAAAGTATTATACATTGTAGGTCTGGCAGATATGGCCAAAGAATACAGAGATATAGTTATTTTCTACTTTCTATTCTAAATAAAAAATCTGTATTTACAAAAATGATTTCACGTCCTGCCCAATGTTGTGCGACAATGTTCATATTGAAGGCTAGGAAAACAAATAGTGACCATGTAGGGCTGTCCCGTATATTATGTGTATTCAAACATTCTAACAACATTACAATCCAAAAACAGTTCACTAAACTAAAAAATGAATATAAATCAAAAAACAAAAAGTACAGGCTAAACGTTAATTGGTAAGAGGAACCCACATCCACTCATCCGAGCTTAGTAATTATTTCAGCCTACATTTGATTACCCCATTACAATAATCACTTTACAGTTACTGCTAGTGCTATCATACAAATACACTTACTTTAGGTTTAATATTCTAAATATGGCACATTTAACGGCCAACAATAAAGATTTTACAAAATGTAACTTTATTTTAGTGCTCCTATTCTCTTGCGCTCTGTCTGTTTGGTGGCGATGCTCGTTCACTGAAGTCTGTGAAGTTAACAGAGACTCACTCGCTTAAGGCTCCACTCCTGACGGCAAGATTTGCTAACATTTACAGATGGAGAATATACCTGAAAAATGTGGCAAACAAACACCATTAAACAGCGCAAGTATCTGTCTGCACATGTAGGCTATCTGTCAGAGCATCTGACAAGGCAAGCAGATTTAAACTATGCAGGTTTACTATTCTTACTAGCAAGTTATTTTGAAGCCCTTAATAGAAAGCATATCTCATGTTTAGGACAAAATGGGATTAAACGCTTTGCATGCAGCAACTCACTCTGGGTCCTTCACTATTTTTCAGATGCATTCTAACCACTGTATATGGATATAAAAATGGCCTCTTCCAACATTGTTTATAAAAAAATATATTGATCTATTGTACAAACCCAATGTACTCAGCCCTAATACATAGAAAAGTAAAATAAATTAGTTGACCTCACTATTAATGCCTTGGTTGTTGGCCAATTTGTCAGAAAATCTTCTCTGAAAGAAAAAAATAAAAAGATTCGAAATAACTGGAAGCTAATTATAGCACAGCCACTAAATAAATTGAGAAAAATAAAATAAATAAATATCCACACTAATCAATCTGATGGCCAACAGAGTAGACCATTTCTCAAAGCAGATTCAACACTGAAGCACTTCTGCTAAAAATTGTGATGTAGGTTATCATTTTATTTCATTCATTTATTTTTTTAAACTTGGACAAAAATACACTCAATCTCACTATTTGTCTTATCTAGTTAGGTGACTAGTATAAGGTACCATTACTCACATTCTCCACCAGAGAGAATAGAGAACATTTATTTCTTTATTTCAAAAATATGTAAAACCGTTCAGCATATTTGAATGATGTGACAAGACTGGACTAATAATGCTGAAAAATCAGTTATTTAAAATTGTACACTCTCAGAAAAAAAGGTCCAAAAGCTGTCACTGGGGCTGTACCTTTTCAAAAGGTACACTTTTGTACCCAAAGGCTGCATATTGGTACCTTAGTGGTACATATTAGCACCTAAATTTAGGTGCTAAATAGTACCTAAAATGTACATGTTAACACCTAAAATTTACATATTAACAGCTAAAATGGACATATTAGCTCCTGAAATGTACATATTAGCACCTAAAATGTACTTATTATCACATAAAATGTACATATTAATACCTAAAATGTACATATTAGCACCTAAAATGTACTTATTAGCACCTAAAATGTACTTATTAGCACCTAAAATGTACATATTAACACTTAAAATGTAATATTAGCACCTAAAATGGACAAAAGTTTACCTTTTGAAAAGGTACAGCCCCAGTGACGGCTTTTGTACCCTTTTTCTGAGAGTGTAATTATATTTCACAATATTACGGTTTTTACTGTATTTTTGGTCAAAATAAATCCGACCAGCCTCAAACATTTGAACAATAGCGTTGTTGATGACGGTCCATCATGTTGGGACCGACTAAAGCATATGTTTTACAAGAAAGCTGTTCTCAAAACACTACAGTGTCCAATCTTTAAAGCCTGAGAAAGAAACAAATGAAGGAATTCTGGCAAAGAAGCTTGAACTAAAAAAAGAAGAGCAATCTTGTGTTTTGCACGAACATGATTGTATTGCTATGGCGGTGACTCATAGGTCATCCATTTCTCATCAGAAAAACACTTTTTGAAAAGCATTAAACCAGTGTGTGAAATACACCACTGCATAAAGGGATGACTCTGGGTTTGATGCAGAAAATTAAGGGATGAGGAAAAAGCTTTATCTAAGTGGGAAAATACAGCTACCATCAGCCCTCTCAGTCAAATTAGTATGCACTAAAGGCCCCACAGAGACCACATTTGCATACACTGGTGTCATGAAAGCACTTGAGTGGTGGGCTGCTGTGAGGCGGGTGGGGACAAAGGGCTGGAAGTGTCGACATGACGCGATGGGGTGATTAAAATTCGCTGGCGTGCTTATGACAGCTTGCCTATCCATCAGGAGAAAGGCATCGAGGGCACAATTCGGTAACCTCCGCTCTGCAGGCGGTCCCCCTTCCTATGAGACACATCTACATTGTTAGCATGCTTATACTTTCTGGAGGGTCAATAACAATGCTTTATTGTCCGGATAGACTGTTTGTATATTTTGTTTGTTCAAAACTACACTGCAATGATTTCATTTTTGTATTAAAATTCAGTTGGATATTTTTCAGGTGATGGATGTCAGCATGATACAAATGTTGGTACAAACAATTATAATAAAGAAAAGAGCTTTGCTGCAAAGGAAACATGACTAAGTAGCTTAGAAAAATTTAATCAAACTAAATTGTTGTGGGGTGCAACTAACATTCAGAAATATAAAAGAAAATAATGGAGAGAGATAGAGGACCCCTGCGTGACTTGGTGTCGAGATAAATAAGACTTTAATAAGATTAATAAGACTGTGTCTCTTAAAATATAAAATAATTTGACTTCATGACTTAATGTCATTTGGTGCGAATCCCAAAAACATATTCATGAATTATTAATAGGGCAGGTCAAAATGCCCACCTTTGCGAGTATCCAAGAAAACATAGTCAGTTATGGCTTAAGTGAACAGTAGAGGAAGAACGCATGTGTATTATTCAAAGCGTTCTCATCCTAGGGTGTCATTATAGCGACACTTGAAATTTCTTCTAAATCCGCACATGGCACCCTTTAGCGTTAATATAACACGCACAGAGCTTTGTTCTGGGGTAGGTTTAGGGTTAGACCACTAGGAGGCGCCTTCTGGCCCAATTATCTGCCTCTCATATTGAGGCTAAAGGGTGCTTTGGTTGTAGACGAAATGTCAAAAGCGTCAGTATATGACGTCTTGGGATGAGACTGGGCTGGTATCATTATATTGGATCTGTGCATTAGTCTTAAAGTGACAGCAGCCTAAAGCCCCTTTCACACAGAAATTCCAGAAAATACAAGGATGATGTGACCTGGTATTTGTCCCTGGATTATTTGATTTCGGTTCAGTCACACTGCCAGTGATTTGCCGGGATCTGCCAGTGCATTCACACACAACCCGTAAAGATCCCCTAAGTACACATCACGTCAGGATGAGACGTGTTACGTACGTTGTACGCGTCGAAAAGATGTACACGCGCATACCGTTCCACAAATCTGGTGAACGATCTCAGCTTCATAGTGAGGAGCTCCTGGTCTCTGCTTCGTTCCAGTTTGCAGACGTTTGTTCGTCCTTTCTGTGTTGATGACAAACACAAACTTTCTTCTAAGAGCACCAGAGTCGCACTATGACACATTTACGGAATTGGTTGGTCCCGGATTTTGTTCACACAGCTCACGTTCCGGGACTGATTCCAGCAATGTTACTAGGTCCGCAACCCGGCATCGATGCCGGTATAAATCCCGGGTTGTGTTTGCGTTCACACAGAAGGCGTTCTGGCAATTTCCACGCGCTGTGTGAAAGGGGCTTAATTCTCTCCTTGGATGATCCATAAGGGCAGTAGGTTTTTGCAATCAGTACACCAGAGAGGAAAGGGTTAAATTAAATGCTGAAGGACCGGCCATGTAAACATGAAGAAAATTAATGCCAATACTTATCTTTCATCTCCAATGGTTCAGATCAGATCAGACGAATCCAAGAAA